GGCCCCCGGGGGGGCCCCCGGGGGGGGGCCCCCACCTGCGGGGGCGCGGGGGGGCCCCCAGGGGCCTCTGCTGCTTCTTTTTCTTTTGCTGCTAAGTCCGATAAGACCTCCAGAGTGCTCGAGGGAGAGCCCGTGGGGGGCGTGGGAAGCTCGGGGGCCCCCAGGGGCCCCTCAGCAGCAGCAGCAGCACGGGACTGGCGCTTGACGAGGCGGCAGAGGGGCCCCCAAACTGCTGCCAAGGGGGGGCAGGAGGGGCCCCCCGTGCCCCCTGGCCTGAGGCAGGCGAAGGCTCGGGGGCCCCCGGGGGCCCCTGGGTGCGCGGGGCGTTCGCCCGCAGCAGCAGCAGCAGCAGCTGCTGCTGCTGCTGCTGCTGCTGCGGGGGGGCCGCTGGGCGGCGCGCGGAAGAACAGCCGCAGCTTCGCTGCTGCCCGCGACGGCTTCCTGCTCAGGGGCGGCGAAGACTCCATTTTGCTGCTGAAGTATTTGGAATTAAATGCGGAATTGTTTTTAAAAAACAAAAAAAAGAAAGTATTTAGATTGCTGAGAGAAAAGAAGACTGCAGCAGCTCGAGACTGCAGCGCGCGGCGTCGCGGGCGGGCACAGCTGGAAAAACCCGCGGCTTGAAGCTGTTCTAAGACGCAGCAGCAGCAGCAGCAGCAGCAGCAGCAGCAGCAGCAGCACAAAGTTGAATATTAGGAAATGGAATTCTTTTAAAGATTAAAAGGCGAGAAAGGCGCAGCAGTTTGCTGCAGCTGGCGGCGACAGACCGCTGCAGCAGCAACAGCTTCGACGGGCAGCAGCTGGAGGCTCGATTCAGGCTACTGCTGCAGCAGACGCAGAGAAGTTCTCCAAGTTTTCAATAAAATGCACAAAACAATCTTCTTTTCATTCTCCGACAAAAGAAAAAAGCTGAATTAGCTGCTGCTGCTGCTGCTGCTGCTGCTGCTGCTGCTCAGCCACACCGCCAACGGCTTGCAAGACAGCGGTGACCAGCGGAAGTGGCTGGCGGGCGTGACCTCTGCAGCTCGCGGGCCCAGTTAGCCAGCCAGCCACCGCCAGTCTTTGAATTTGAATTTCATTTCTTAAAAGTAATCCATTTAATTCCTTTTTTCCGGATTTTAACGGGCTTTTGCCGCAGTCTTGGCTGCTGCTGCTGCCGCCCGCCGCCCCCGCAGCACGTCGGCTGCAGGTCGCTCCGCAGCAACAGCTGCCACTCCCTCCCACGCAAACCCCAAAAAGCCTCTTTATAATTCCAAATGGACTTTTCGCGGGATTTCATCTTCAATATTTTGCACAATGTTCTTTAAATAAGCGAAAAAGCCCGCCGTTTCGCCGCAGCAGACCCTGGCTTGCCACTCGCAGCGGCTGGCTGCCGTGGGAGAGGACTTCGCCGCGGGCTGCAGCCTCTTTTGAGGGCTCTGCTTATTATTTTTTCAGCATTTCTTTCTTTTAACTTTCCCAACTCTTTAAAATATACATTTTGAGTGCCGAATCTTTAGCTGGGCGGTGCTGCCAGCCCCCGTGGCGGCACACCTTGTCCAGCTGCGCTAGCCCGAGCAGCAGCAGCCACTGGCGGCTCACTAGAAGTGGCATTTTTGAAGCTTTTTGCTGCTGCTTTTTGCCAATTCTTTAAAACAAACGAAGTTTTGTGTCTGAACTTCGCAGCTTTTAATGAAATAAACAACAAAAAGATAACTGGAAGTCCTTTCTAGTACAAAAACGGCCGTCTCGGGCACTCCTCGTGCAGAAAGCTCGTGTAGACAAGCCTAATAAGAACTAATAATACCATTTTAATTGTCTTTTTGTATTTTTTTCATTTTTGTGACTCAAAAGACTCATTTGGGTTCATTTTTAAAAGAAAAGAAACAAAGAGGAGCAGTTGGTGGTGGGCGCGCAGCCCCTGCGAAGTGCCTTCCTGTTGCCGCGCACTGCAAGCAGCAGCGCTGCTGCTGCAGCTGCTGCTGCAGCTGCTGCAGCAGCAACTGCTGCAGCTGCTGCCTGTGCTGCTGGAATAATTACTATTAATAGTAACTAATAAATGTTGTTATTAGCAGACTGGATTCACTCGGAAACAAAGAAAACCAAACCCACAGTATTTGTCCACGGGACACCACGGAAATAGCAGCAGCAGCAGCAGCAGCAGCAGCAGCAGCAAACTAAGCAACCCACGCGCCTCCACTGGCTGCGGCAGACGGCCACAATCACTACCAGGAGCAGCAGCAGCAACAGCAGCAACAGCAGCAGCAACAGCAGCAGCAGCAGCAGCAGCAGCAGCCGGCGACGAACTGTAGGCGTCGTTTAGAAAGCTGCTGCTTTCTGGAATACAGAAAAGGGGAAATGTGGAAACAAAAGTACAAAATAAAAAGAAATAAATAAAATAAAAAGAAATAAATTAAAATAAAAAAGAAATAAATAAAAATAAAAAGAAATAAATTAAAAATAATTCAAAAGGGCGCGCACGGAATTGAACCATGAACCTGCCGATCTGCAGTCGGCCGCTCTACCATTGAGCTACACACCCGTTGCTGCCGACTCGCCAGCAGCAGCAAAGTTTGCTGCTGCTGCTGCTGCTGCTGCTGCTGCTGCTGCTGCTGCTGCTGCTGCTGCTGCTGCTGAGAGATCCCTTCCCTGAGGATTCGCAGTACGGAAATAGAACGCCCAGTGGCCTCTGCAGCGGCGCAAAAGCTGCTGCAGCAGCAGCAGATGGTTGTGGTGGCTGGCGGGGGTTCCAGGGGTTTGCTGCTGCTAGGGTTTAGGGTTTAGGGTTTTAGGGTTTAGCTCCAGCGCATTTAGTTTGTCTACTCTGAAGCTTCTTCTGCCTGCAGCTTTTGCTGCAGCCTGCAGTGCCCCTTTTGCTGCAGCCACGTGCTGCAGCAGGGGGTCCAGTTGCTGCTGGCTAGCTTCTAATGTGCTGCTGCAGCAGCTTCTAATGTGCTGCTGCAGCAGCTGCAGCTCAGCAGCACGAACTAATGCTGCAGCAAAAACCTCAACTCAGCTTCTAGCCAAATCTTTTGTGCTGCTAAGGCTGCCGGAGGGGCCTGGGTTTTGTCTTAGCCGAATTTCAAAAGGCTTTGAGGCCTGCGGAGCAGCAGGGGGGCCCCGGGGCCCCCCAGCCTGGTCCAGCAGCAGTTACAGGGGTATTGTAGCTTGTGAGCAGCAGCAGCAGCAGCAGCAGCAGCAGCAGCAGCAGTGAGCAGCCACCAGCAGCAAGGCTTGTCCCAGTAAGCCGCAGCCCCGCCGGGGCTCCCGGGGCGCAGCAGCAGCCCTGCTGCTGCCAGCAGCAGCAAATAGCTTCTTGCAGAGTAGCAGCAGCAACTGCAGCAGCAGGGGCCCCCGCAGCAGCAGATCCGGCGCGGGGCGCAGCACACAGCGCGCAAAGCGGAGTGCTGCAGTTGGCTGCGGGCGGGCTGGTCGAGCAGCAGCAGCAGCAGCAGCAGCAGCAGCAGCAGCAGCAGCTTTGAGAGCCTGCTGCAGCAAATAAGAACTCGTGGGAAATCGGGGAAAGCGGAATTGAATGGAGTTTGGGGAAGGCGAGACTGGCAAGGCCGCAGTCGGCCACGCGGCGGCTGCTGTGTGTGCAGATTCGGAAAGCGTTGTGCAAGTTTGCTGCTGCTGAGCAGCTTTTCGAGTTTCTCGGGAGTTGTGTGTTGCATTTCAAGAAATTATATTTCGAAAAAAGGCCGAGAAGAAGCAAAAAGGGGGAAAGGGAAGCCCTATCGACCTGCGGCGTTGTGGGCAAACCCAAGAGGCGGCCCCATCATCGGGGGTGTGGCTGAGAGGTGTTCTTCCGGTAAAAGAAAGCTCTTTTTGTCGGGTTTCCGCTCATCTTTAGTTGTTAATACGTCAAAGGCTGCAAATTATTTCTTTTTTC